GAATGGTTGTGAGGATTAAATAAATGAACGTATGTAAAACTTTTAGAACAGTGTCTGCACATATTATTTCGTGCATTTTGTTTCAAAAGGTGGGGCAAAATACATTTTCAAACAAAATTATTAAAAGTGCCAAGAGAAAAACTGAAGGCATTTAAAGGAATAAAAATTATTTTCCTAGGATATCCCATGCATGAATTTGAAATAATGACCAACGTTTGTGCTCTATTTTTATACCCCAAAAAAATGCATGTAGAGGTAATATTTTTAATTATTTAAAAATAATTTGAAGTAGTATGTATTAAGATATGCTAAGAAAAGACTTTCTACACAAACAGGCTTCATTAAGTCTTTTTTATAAAGACCCAGTTTTGAATAATTGCAAACATCAGGACAGAATCAGAGAACTTTAAATCTGGGAGAAGTCAAGAATGATGTCAAAAGTTCTATTTGCTATTTCTTTTAATCCTGAAAACTCTATGACGTAGGTAGCACATGTCATACTTCCATTTTACAGGGGTGGGGTGGGGGATGGGGGGAAGCCTCAGAAGTTGAAAAACAAGGCTCAAGTTTAAACAGCTAATTTTATAAGAAAGCACTTTATTTGACCTTCAGTTTTCTCATTTATGAAATGATGACAATAATATCCACTTCACAAAGTGTGTTAGGATTAAATAATATATCACATAAGAAGCACCTTCTTTCTTTTCTCCCCATTCTCTTCGGCCTGAGACATTTCGTTTAAAATGACTTCATTATGTGCCACACTCCTGTAGTGTTTGTTTTTTTAACCTGGTGGTTTTGCCTTAATTTATTTGCAGCCTAGCAGATCAGTTCCTTTTCCAAAGAAAATTACCGTGGATATATTTAAAAAAACAAATTAATTAAAATATATATATATATATAATGTAAAAACGATTGTCAATAAACAGAAGTATTAAATTTCTGGAAACTCAGTATTCAGTATAGAGACCTAGAGAACTCTACACAGCAAATTACTTGAAGATGACCTTTGCTCTTTGAAGTCATACTAACTGCTGTTACAGCGCTAGAGAAGACTAATTAAAATTTTTCTTTAATAAGTATAGTATTCCATTTCCCACTTGCTAACAGATGAAAATTACAACAATATTTTTAGTTCTACCCTGGTGCTTTCATAGTAATCCTGAGAGGCATTCTAGACTCTGGCCCTGGTGAATTTCTGATTTGCCTTTTGATAAAGCAAGCCAGAAGACTTTCCTTACCCCTGCACAGCCTGTTCCCTCAGCTTGGAATGCCCTGCTCCATTTTCTACCCAGCAAATGTCTTCAAGTGCCAGCTTAAATGTCACCTTAGCTGTAAAGTCTTTCCTGACTCCTCTAAAATGTCGAGTCGAGAATAATATTGTTTAGTCAAAGATTTTATTTTATTACCCCATTTCTGAAAAGCGTCATCTAACTTCTGCTTTTCTTAAGTTCTCTGGACAGTGTCCACATATTCGTACTGATGGCGAAAATGAGCTGACTCAATAAAAAGGTGATGAGATTCTAGAAAGAGCTAGCTGGCTGGCTGACTGGCTGGCTGGCTGGCTGGCTGGCTGGCTGGCTGACTGAAAAACCAGCCAGTGAGTAGTTTGGAATATATTAGCCTTTAGCGGGTTAGTTCTCCCTTTAAAGGAGACCAAAAGAAGGCAAGTAGATAAGAAAGAAAAAGCTTGAGTTCTCTCTTACTGACATTGCTTTAAGTAAATGTGCCTTTTCATGTTAGTATTATTAATGATGATGGTACTAAGGTGTGTCATTCTTTTAAGGAGTTTATTTCTGTCAGGATAATTATTTGTCTGCCCACCAAACATTTCCAGCCCTCTCCTGTGTAGGCATATAATAGGACTATACTTCATAACCTGGGATAGGGCTCTGTGAGAACAACTCTGGCTAGTGAGCTGTGAGCAGAAGTGGCTATGTCATTTCCAGGCTGAAATACCCAACTGTTTGTGCAATACCCAGCAGAGCTCTCTTTCACTTTGCCATGGCAACTAGCCACTTTCAAGATGACCCATCATCCTGGGTCCTGGAGTAAGAAGATATGAAGCGAAACCCTAGCCAGTCTTTATCAGACCTGTAGCATATCTGAGAAATAAACTTTTCTCCTCAACATTTTATTGTGAAAAATGTTGAGATATACAGAAAAGTCGAGAGAACTGTACAGAAAACATCCACACACTCATCACCTGGATTTTACAATTAGCATTTTTCTGTATTTGCTTTATCACTTATCTATACATTTATCCATCCATCCATCCTTCTGTGCTATAACAATTCATCTTCTTTTTTTTTTTTTTCAGATGAATGGGAAGCTATTGTAAAATACTATTAATGTTTGGGGTTATTCATGGGGTTGTTGTGTACTACAACATAACTTAGACTTGCCTAATCTACAACATCTAGGGTGCTCTGATCAGCTCCTCTCCTTTTCTGCTGAGGATCCTAAAGTGGAACTATTCCAAAAAGAAAACTTAAGTGTTTTAAGTTAGTTCTAAGACATTATTTCCTGCCTGGGAAAATCTAAAGTTATAGGATGAATTAAGAGGCAGATTAAATCATTTTTATTTTTACTTATGGACTTAAAAAGAAAAAACATAAACTCTGATTGAACTAGTTGGAGTGGGGCTCTGTTTAGAAGCAGAGGGGTGGAATAAATGGGGAAAGAAAAGGCAAAAACCACATCCATTGAATGTTGCATGGCAGATATTTTATATGTACTACCCCCAAGCCACTCTATAAATTATATATGATTTCTTTTGTTAAAATGAGTATATTAAGCTCAGAGAGGTTAGGCTGCCTGCCCTAGGTCATATAGCTAGTGAGAATGAAAGAGGCAGAATAAAAACCCAAATGACTCCAACATACTTGCCCTCCTCTGGAAGTCTACAAACCCTGATTTCTGAAGCCCCAGAAGCTGATGTTTCCTGCCCACTGGGAAGGCTGCTCCTCATGGTCCATGCGGTAACCATGGGGTTAGCGGCAACCTCCTTCACTGCCTGAAGCAGAATTTGAAAAGTCAAAATTATATACATATATTCCAAAATACTATTTTTTTTCAAGTCAAGACCCAGCTGGAATCTTGATCTCACAGTTTATTCCTTAGTCTTGTATTTTGTTGTGGAGTAGATACACGCATGCGTGCTTGGTACTTATTTACATCTTGAGATTTAATGAATATGACCACAAACAGGTTATTTTCAGAATTTTCATGGCTCGAGCCTACTGTTTTCAGATTCGTATTAGTTAAACTCAAAATAATGGGTATGACAGATGTAAGTTTAAATCATCAGGTTCCCGTTCAGGTCAAGGATCTTTTTCCTGATCTAGGTACTCTTGCTTGCCTGAGTAGGAGGGAATAGCTCAGAGAACTTGCCTGGGAAGAGAACTTAAGAACCCATTTAGGACTTGGGATCATGGGAATTTGTCCTCACCCTATAGATGTAATCCAAACCTGCACAAGTTCTTTCAAATATTGACACAGATGATCTTTCTTAACTTTCCTATAGAGGTTAACCTTTCTCCAGTGATCTTAACGAGAGTAAGTCCTTAAAATAAAGCTTGGATACACTCAAAAGGGCAGCATGCAGGAGTTTCCTGGGGTGATGGAACTGTTCTGTATCCTGATGGTGGTGGTGGTTGCATGAATCTATACATGTGTTAAAATTCATAGAATTGTACATGCCACACATATGCACGCACACACATATACTCTCAGAATTAATTGTACTGTATGTTTACTGATTTAAAAACCTGAAGACACTAATGCAAAGCGACCCATGAGGCAAGAAATTAAGCTTTCAGGGCCAAATCATCTGCACAAAGCATCAGGGAGTAATTTCAGACTCTCCCAGGGGTAGCTGCCTGCACGGTTCTCTCCTCTTTCTTTCAGGTATATCAATCCTTCCATAAAACCGACAAGCATCAAATGTACCTCGTAAACCATTAGAGAAGAGTTCAATGTCTTTTCCACATGGTCTGCTTTGAGTATGTATGGGTCTTGCTTTGGCCCTGTAGTGGTTTCTTTATCAGGTGTAGAGTCATAAAGCTGAAGAGTGGGCACGCTAAGGAGACCATGATTGAGAAGGAAGAACTTAGAAATTGTGGAGTTGGAAAAGTAGCTAAATTAGAAACTGGATTAATTCAACTGAGTTAACTTCTTTAGAGGTGAGGAAATCAGAGTCTATAGAGCTGAGAGGGCCTTCACCAGGAAGAAAGCCACATGAATGAGGAGTCAAGGTAAGTCCAGGCAGATCCATGTGGCCAAGGTCAGAGCTGCGGGACCTCTGGGAGAACTGGTGCTCTGAACCTGGTGGACCTCTGCTACCTAAAGGTTCAGCCTTCTGAACCAGAACCTAACCCATGTTTTCTACTGTCTCTGGAAGATTCGTTGGTTAGTTGAATGGAGGCTTGTCTTTGGCCAATGCGGTCCTTGGCACTCCTGCATTGTCTAGAACCTGTGAATCCTTTTAGAGCTTATCTATCTGGAGAGGAAATTGTCTGAATAGACTTGAAGAGTGAGAGCCATCTGCTGAAGACACCAGTGAGCATTTGGCAGGGTGGGTGGGGGAAATGAGAGAGCACAGAGGGGAGGGGGCTGGGAATTATCCCACTCTCCCCCTCCCGCCTGCATGGGGTGCTCCAGGAGCTGCTTTTAAGCAATGCCTAACAAGTTGAGTTGGCGTGAACTTGTGCTTGTTCCTCCCTCAGGGAATGAGGGAAGACAGGCTTAAAGCTGTTTAAATGCTTGGAGAATATCCAAAGAGAAGCTTGACACAAATGCAACATATTAATGACAACAGCTTGGGCCTGGCTAAATAGTGACTATTCTAACAAAACAAACATATGGGTAATGAGGACAATTGTTCTGAAAAAGAAACAATTCAGCCCTTGTACAGGGAACTTGGTGCTTTTTTAGAGTCTTCATGGAATTCACTTCACTGTGGCTTTCTCAAACGCTGGCTGGCGTCTATTTATTCTTAGAAGTGCCAAGAACAACCACCTCAGGGATCTCTTGTGGGCATGAGCACATTCTTCAGTGTATGCCATCTCAAAGAACAAATGTTCTTTGCTTTTTTTTCAGATTGTTTGCTTTGTACTCTAAGAGAGGGCTTCTTGCGGGCCATCAGAATTATCTGGGATGTTTGTTAAAATGTAGGTTCCTGCACTCCGCCTTTTCAGACCTGCCAAATTAGGTGAACTCTGAGAGAAAAATTCAAAACATCTGCATCTTAAGAAGAACCTTAGATGATCTTTATCACAGTAACATTTGGAAATCACTGCCCTAAGGCCTAGTCCTTCTCTTTAATGTTCATTTACTCATTCAAAACACATCCATGTGCCAGCTATTCTGTGGTGCGAGAAATGGTGAGGGTACTACCATTAAGTATTCAAATTGCTCATCTTGCTCATCACCAAATAATTACAATAAAATGTGGTAAATGTTATAGCAGAAGGGCATATGAAATATATGAAAGGATAGAGGAGGAGCCTGCAAGAGTTAGAGGCAGCTTCATAGATAATATTTGAGCTACATCTTGATGAATGAGCAGAATTTAATCAGGAGGACAAGAGAGAAAGCACATCTCGGGCACAGAAAAGGTATCGGTTTATGAAGGCGTATGATTCACTCTGGAAGAAGGAATTCTGTGCAGCTGGAGCGTAGGGAATAGTGGAGGAGGAAAGAGGCATAGACTAGACTGCGAGGAGCTTTGCATACCTGCTGAGCAGTTTAGGCTTTGCTCTACAGAAAATGAGAGCTGGAGGGTTTTATTATTATTATTTTTTTTAAGTATAAAATGACAGAATGATTTGTATGATACAGAGTGATCTCCCTGCTGGCAGTTTGGATACAGGGAGAGGAGTATAGAAGCATCTGCAAGGGTGAGGAGCGAAGAGGCTAAAGCCAGACAATGGCACATGGGGGCAGAGAGATCTGCATGAAGCAAGAAGTGGAGTGAGAAGACGGGAGCGATGGAGGCCTGGACCAGCCACCCATCGACAGCTTGGGCCACAGGATGGAGAAGTAGAGTAGAGGGGCTATTGCTCAAGACAGGAAACAAGGTAGGTGCAGATTAGGCAGGGGAAGAAAGGGAGGCATTTTCAATACCTATATTAGTCTTCCAGCTCAAAATTCGACAGCTGACCTGACATTTGAACTTGCAAGCAGATGATAGTGTGTGGGACCACAGGGGATAGTTTCTGCTGCTCTAGGAAATTATTTTCAAGATACCTGTTATGCAAAAAATATCATGCCATCATATGTAGTATGGTTCCATTTATGTTTTTAAAAACTAAGTGCAGAGAGAGACACAGATCGAGAGAGAGAGACAGAGAGTATGAGAGAGGGAGAGAGAGACAGACAGAGAGATTGGGTTTTGAGGAAATGCACAGTAAAAGCAAGTTACTGTAAATAAGGAAGAGAAGTGGAATTGAGAGAGGAAATGGAAAGACCCTTGACAATTTACTCGGAATTGTTTTGTATTTGTAATTGTTTTTAACAATAAGTTTTACTGATGTATGCTTTTATAACTTTTTAAAGCTTTTAAAAAAATGCCTACACATCTTCTTGGCTGCCACTAGGTGGTACTAGTGGCAGGACAGATTGGATGGCCTTTAAGCTTCTGTGCTCATCCCCGGCACCTACCTTCCTACCTTCAAAGAGTGAAACCAATTAATTCACCAACTATTATTGGCATTCATTCTCAGAGATTAGGGCTCAAGACCCCAGACTCCCCTTTCATTCCCCTTAAGATACGAGATGCCAGGTTTTCTGTTTAATTTGTATCAAAATGTTTTCAAGCAAAAAAATGTTCTTTCTACATCAGTCTAAGTTATACAGTTTAGTTCACATAAATTCAGATTTGTCTCAAGAGCTCCACCTTAAAAAGATATTCCCAAATCAAATCTTAATCAGATGCATAAAAATAATTTAACTTTTCTCTGCAGTGGCACCCTTCACCTGAGGTTCCCTAATTCCGAGATCAGGCCTTTCTTTCCACTCACTCACCCTTAATTCTCTAGGACAGTCACATCTTCCATCACCTCGACTGATGTGGGCAGGAAACAGAAATGTTTCCACTTGGCCTCTTTCTACATCTCATGAAAATGAGGATTTGTGATTTCACTTCTGGAGCCTTTTCCCTTTTTAGGGGGGCTTATCTCCTCTCCTATCATGGAGTGGTCTGAACTAGTTAATGTGTTGCCCTTTGTTCTAAAACAGTATTTCAACCAGTTGTCTGAGATTCAACCAGTTGTCCCAGTCCTGGAGTTGGTAAAATCTTGCAGGACTCAGTGAAATCACTCATGTGCTCTCTTTGGGATATCAACGAGGCCAGCCTGGTACACATAGCTACTCAGTCCTGAAGGATGCAAAGCCAAGAGGTGTCTGCACTGGCTCTGGCTTGGCTAAGGCAGGCTCCTTGTCATGATCCTCACTGGGCTTGGCATGAGTCTTCACCTTCTTACCCCCCATGTACACTGTACCCCTTCAACAGGGGCAGTGTGCTGAGTCAGCCTTTGGATCAAACCCAAGAAGAAAGTGACCAAGGTGACAGAATTGTACTTGACACTCCCTGTGCAGCCAATTAAGCCACCCATAAATATCAGAGAGGAGAGTTGCATGCAAAAGATATTAGACATTACATGGAAATTAGCCACTATCCATCATTAATAATAACAAAGGCTACTATTTATTTAAGCTCTGACTATTTTTCCGAGCCTGTCCTAAGCACTTCATATATTGTACCTTATTTGATTTCCTCAATCACCCTGTAAAGTAGCAGTATTGCTCCCGTTTTATGGATGAAAACAGAGAAACTAGGTTCAAGAAACAGGCTCATATTTATCTATTTTCAAAATTTGCCTTGTTAATCCTTGTCCTATTCTGAAGACAGTTAAGAGCTCTGACTATTCAGAGATCCATTTACAGCCCCCATTTAATGAATTACTGAGAATCTTGACTTTTCTTCTTTCTTACCCCTTAGTTCAAAGGGTACTTTTCAAAGGTGAGAAAAATGGTCAAGGCAAAAATGTGACTGCAAACTTATTATGTGCTTTGTACTGACATTTAGGCTTAGTTATACCACTTTTTTTTTTCTTTTTGAATTTTTATAACAGTTTATTTGAGCCAAACTGACACATATACCAGGGGGGTAAGATCTCATATGTTCTAGTTATACACCTTTTAAAAGCAAGAATTATGCTTTTTGGTTACTTTTGACCTCCTCTCAGCACCTCCCATCAAATTCCACCCACAAGCGTTTCTGAAGACTGTGTTCCTTCAGTAACTGGCTGGCCCCTTGTTCACATTTGGAGTCAAAAGGTTGGCGCTGGGATATAACTCAAGGTTTGTGAGTTTCTGTGGGCCATGATTATTTTTACCACCTATTTCCCCTCACCATGAATCCTTGAAAGTTAAATGTAAATTGGTTTCCATATTAAAATATTTTAGCTAATTTTTATATGGGTTTAATTTTATTTTTTAAAGAAAAACTAATTAAACTTGGTTGGTTAAAAGTAGTAAACAAGAAAAAAATCTACCACAACCTTCTTTTTCCTAGGAACTTGGAGCTGGAGCTTGTTTTCATGATATAATTAGGTAGGGACTTGTGCGACTTAATTTAAAAGCCTGAATTATAATCACCTTTCTTTCTTTTTATTTATTTATTTTTTTAACCGTTTTCTTCTCTGCTACCCCTGGATGAACCTGGCTCTGCTTTTCCAAATTCAATGATGTCAGGTCAGCAGGGAGCAAATTCGAGACTGTACAATTCTCTTCAGCTGTTAGCTGGGGAGATCTTTTCATCCCCAAGGTCTAAGTTCAATTCTAAAGGGCATGTTTTTTTTCAACGTATGTGGTTATCTCTTATTAACGGTAATGGGTGTTAGGTGTGAACATTCAGAAGACTCTCTATCTCTAAGATGTTCCCAGCCATGAATTTACGAGGCCAAAGTAAACACATTTTTGCTCTTTGACTCCATTCTCCTACATGTTCAGATAAATGTTGATACCTGAATACAAGTCTAACTGATGAAATGTACAATGCATGTGGCCTCTGCATATGTCATCTATAAGACGTGGCTTTAAAAACGGGTTCTTTTCTTCTCTGATTAATTCTTGGCCTGGCCAGCCATTGTAACCCTGTGAGGGAGGCAAGGAGACATTTCTGAAGTTTTTTCTTTTCTTCTACCCAGATGTCATACAACTTGTGCCAGTGAGCAAAATATACCCAGTACAGCATTAATGTCCTATTCTGAAACACTTGTATCCTAGTCTACCTTCAGCTGATTTGATCAGTATCAGATACTCCGATATCATCAAGTGAAAAACAAGTGTGAAAAAAAAGAGTGAGTGAAATATGAATAACAAACTGTTCAAGATGAAACAGTTCTAGAGGGCTCGTTCCACTTGCCTAAGAGGTGTGTCCCAATGCCAAATAAGCTGAAATAAGAGGCAGCCTTGTTTGTATAGTATTTAATAGGCCCCAGAGGGAAATGGGACAGCTCAATGAAACAATCTTGCCTGATTTTTTTCTTAGGCTCTTTATTAGAAAGGTCTCTAAATTGTGATGATGGTTTTAAGAACACCAATCAGCCAAGGCTTTTAAAATGTATGCTGATGGCTTTAATCTTACTGTATATATAGTTATCAATAACAATGGTAACATTTAGCATATACTTGAACTCAGTAATTTCTAGGTAGGAAGGGCTTTACTGACACAAATTCTTTGCCAGAAAAAGAGTAGGAAATAGTATGATTAAAAGTAATATCAAGATTCTTTCATTTCTTCTGAAATTATTTTTAAAGACATAAACAACTCACTTTTTTCTTTGCAGGTATTAATGTACAAAACACAAAAAGTCAACTTGTGGTTATCTTTTCATGACTGTTGGCCTCAATTCCTGGCTCAGGAGATACTACAAAGCAGTTTAACTGGTTTTGTCTTGTTTGAGAGAAAAAAAATTAAAATTTCAGGAGTTTTTTATCTTAACCCAGAAACAGGAAAGAAAGCAGTCTATCAGAAAAAATCATAAAACCAGTTTTCCAAATGTGTAGAACTTTTTCACACAGCATCAATCTTAAAAAATAAAAAAGTGGGTTTTTTTTAAAGATTTTTTTCGTGTGTGTGTGTGTGTGTGTGTGTGCATGTCTTTCTCTAGTTGCAACTGGACACCTTAAATTTTATTCTCATCTTTCAACTACTGGCATGTCACAATCTACTCTAGAGAATGACTGCCTAAATTACTATATTCGTAAATATTCTAGTGGAAAACACTTGC